CTTGGTCAAGAACTCCGCCTGCTCCTTCAAATGGCCTATTGCGACCTCCGACCAGCGTGGGTCCAGCAGCCGGCTGTACACGACCCCGGTGTTGTGGTGCTCGTGCTGTCGGTACGAGTGGGCTGGAGGAGGGTTTTCCAGCGACAGTTCCCCGGCCAGCACAAAAGACTCCTTGTCGATACTCATCTGGTCGAAGACAGAAGCCCCAGGTTCAGCCTCGCGCGAGCCTGCTCTGGCCGGTTGGCCCGCAGGCAGTCCAAGGCCCCCGCCATGATCCAGGTGGCCCACATAGCCGAAGGATAGGCTCCTATCTTGGACCTGTATTCGACCCATGCCCGAGCCGACACCTGCCCTGGCTGCCCTGGTACAGCCACGCCGGGTGCCGCGGAAGCAAGATCCTCGGCCATGAGGCCCTCTATCACAGCACTGAGCTCCCTGGGGCTGGCCGTCAGAGCGTCGCGAAGAGCTTTGCGGGCCGCCGAGTTGCGACGAGAAGTGCCCTCGGCCGATCCAGATGCGACGCCGTTCAGGGCCCTTTCCAAAGAGCTCCCTGCTCTGGAAGAGCTCTTGCGGTACCCCTCCATCATCTTGAACATGGCTGCTGCGAAAGCTTCGGCTTGACTCGCAGCAGGGGCGGGCTGAGAAGGGCCTGCTGTCAGCGAATCGCCCAAACCAGCACCGACGGGGATGTCCTCCTCTTCCTCGGACTCGTCCAGGGGGTTCTGCTCGGGCACGGTTGTGGCTGCCGGTTCGGGCCGCAAGCGAGACCCTCGCCCCTTTCTCATAAGAAGCTCCATCTCGGCCAAGGCCCCTTCTGAAACACCAGCGGCCCTTGCAGCAGCGACCACCGAAGGATCTAAGTCGGCAGGAGAGGCTTCGTGCACAGAGCCCGGCCGGACCTTGGTCTTTGCTTTCGCTTTCGCGGTGGGCCCGCCACTTGAAGTATGGGCCACCACGTTCTGGATCATGCTCCAGGCGGGCCAGCCGAGCCCCGATAGGATCTCGCTCGGTGGGCCGCCCCGATTCGCCGGTTGCAAAAGCAAAGTGCTCTTCGGCCGCAGCCACCAAGGCGGGAACGAAAGGCAAGGCAGGCACCCCAGGGCTCAGCTCCCCAAAGCCAATCACATTCTCGGGTGGCTCGTCGGGCACCTGAATAGCTCCCTCGAGGGCGGGGTCCACGAGCCCAAACCAGACTCGCACGGTGGCTCCTTCGAGGGCCTCGCTTCGCAGGGTCGAACCGCAAGCTGCGACCTCGGCTGCACAGACCTTGGTCATAAAACCTTTCGGCAAAGACCTTCGGGACACCTGCCGGTGCCAAGCCGTGGAGGGCACCGCGAGCACGATCCGGCCGTCCTGGTGCTTCACAGCGATGGCGGTGATAACAACCTCGCTCCCATCGGCCTGGCTGCCAAACCTGACCACAGCCAGCGGACATTGAGGGTCCTCGAAGCCCTCCCCAGCAGCCAAGGCGTCGCGAACACCTAAGGGCTGCCCGTCCTCCTCCTCTGACATCTTTACCAGCCGTCGGGCAAAGGGATGTCAGCCGCGTTCAGCACGGCAATGACGTCCCCACACGACGGAAGCCCGATGCAAACACTATCTCCCAAATCCACGCCCCTCTTGACCAGACTTTTGCAATCAGCAAAGCGGCTGTAGATGCCGACGGGCTCCTGCAGCACACCTGAAAAATCCCGAACCACCACCCAGTACCTGGAGGAACCTGCCAGCCTGTCACGACCTGAGGCACCTCGATGCTCACCGTCCCGGGCTCGCCTAAGGAAGAGCCCAATCTCGCGGCAGGCAGCCGCACGCGCCCGAAAAGTAAGGGCTCGGGAGTCAGGCGGGGAAGCGGGGACTCCGCCGGCACTAGGGGCACTAAACCCTAAAGGGCGGGACTCGGGACTAAACCCTAAAGGTCCTTGCGAGGACGAAGCAGCAGCACGGGACAACCCAGCACTAGCCCTAGGGGTCAAGGCACGGGAAGCGGCGGGGCTAGGGCCTAAACCCAAAAAAAAGCCTGCCTCGTCGCGAGAGGGCTCGTCCACCAGCAAGTACTCCTGAGAGTCGGAGCCCAAAACCAGCTCTGAGAGCCTTTGCACAGCAACCTCAAGGGCAAACAAGCGATCTTCAAGGGAATCCACCCGAGAAGCCAGGCTCATTCACAGAAGCCTGTAGAAAGCTGACTGAGCCCCGCAGAGTCGGCGGGATATGGCACGAAGGATGAGGGCACGAAGGAGGAGGAAGGCCTCGAGGAGGGGCCAAATCAAAAACCCAATGCAGATGCCGAAGAAAACAGAGGGCCAATGCCAGGAGCCTTCAAAGTCCAAGCAAGAGGCGGAGGGTTCTGGCAGTGCAAAGGGAGGAGGCCCGGGATCGGAAAGGGAGTGAAGCAGATGAACAAGGAGACCCGCTGCCGAAGACGATCCTACGAGGGCCCTACCATTCATCACCTAACCGAAAAAGCTACGAGCACTTCCTCACGTAAAACATGGTGTGCCACAGGCTTTATGGCTTTCTCATTCTCTTAAGTCTTGAAGAGTCAGGACATGACACCTTGACCAGCGGCACTCGCAGCTAGCGGCACACTCTTGATTTGAGGAGCCCTCGTTGACAAAAATGCAGCTGCGCGACCCTACAACCCGAAAGCCCGACACCTTAAATCAAAAATCCGCTGGCAGGGTTACCCCTCAGAAACCGAAGCAACTTGGACTGGAGAACCCTAAGCTCGAAGCCCCAAACAAACTCCTAGCCGACCCAAGTTTGGGAACTTTATCCCGACCGCTTCAAGCTCAATCCTCAAACCTACAAATTAAGTCAGTGCAGGCGCTAGCAGGTCACATTCTTCTTGGCATGTGGGGAAATATCCCTCTCTCCCACTGTCTACATAGCAACATTCATGTCGTACACTGTCCTACACGGTTTGGCGGCCAAGATAATTGGGGCTATTTGGACCTTTACCCTAGAACGCGTCGGCCACGGGTGTTTTGGGCGATGTTAACTTGTAGCCAAGCCCTCAACCCCAAACCCCTCGAAATCCAAACCCTCAAAACCTCTTGAGCAGTCATGCTTGTCATGCCTGAGAATGACATCCCTCGCAGCACCCTTGAAGAGGTAGCATCCTTCCTGCAAGCAGTCTGCTCCATCAAAGCACTGCTGGACTGCTTGTGTCGGCAGGCGTTCACGCTCCTGCCTCCATAAGCCCTAAGAAATCCACCTTGCCAGCTATCGACCACATTTTTTCATCGAAGTTGTGCTCGTGGATATATGCAAACTCGCGTTCCTAAGTTGAAGTTTCACAGGAGGGCCAAGACTTTGATGCATCGTGAAACCACACCTGGAGCCAGGGCTCATGAGTCGTGCTGCAGCGAGCCTCCGGAAAGCTTCTGAGCTGCGCCGACTTCTCCCGGGGGTGGACTGATGGTGCAAGTGCGTCAATCAAACACCGACATGAAGGGTGCGAAGCCTGAAGGCCCTGTGTCAGGGAGCCCACGAGCTAAAGGAACGGCAAGAGGGGCTGCGAGAGGCGCGCATTTCCTGAGCAGAGTATGCCGCCTTTTGACACCGTAATTCGGTTCGAGAAAAAAGCCAAGCTGCAGCAGCCTTCGGGCTGTGGCTCTCATCTCCAAGCAGGGAAGGGCCCGCCAGAAACAGCTGCGGAGAGGAGCGGAACCCTCTGCTGCGACTGCTGCGACACATGGCCCAAAACTGAGGCAAAACTGAGGCAGTGAGACGGTAAGGGTGCCGTCGGCCTCATCCTCGTCGAGGCCAGGCCAGCCTCTAAAGGACAGGGCGGCCACCGAAGGCAAGTCATCTTTGCAGCAGATGCCGCTGGCCCACCTCGGTCTGCGGCAGTCAGCACCTCCCAGGATGGCAGCTTCAGGAGGTCAATGCAGTATCGGAAGTCTAGTCTAGGGCCCAGGCCACACACAGCTGTCCTGAATGGGTTTGCCCCCAGAGACCCACGACTCACAACTTGACATCTCACCATGCATACCGGCTGTGGTCTTGCGCTTGTCTCTGCACAATCAAAAGAAGTCTCCTTCAACTTCTCCGTCTGCGCGTGTCCTCCGCACTTCCTGCAGAAAAGGAGACTGCAGGAAACAGCCGAACTCCCTGCAAGTCCTCAATGCGGAAGAGGGTATCCACTGCGCAAGAAAGAGTGGCCTTCACAGATTCGAAGAACCCTCTCTTTGGGCCACAAGCAGTCGAAGGCCCGGCGGGCCGGGCCTGCGTGCCCGGCGCGGCGGCCCTCAAGGCTCCCTGTGACGTCGGGAGCAGCAGGCGCACGGCCTGGCGCGCACGGCCCCGGCGAAGGCCAACCTTCCCCTTCCGTGACGAGTCAAACGCCCTCATTGCCTGTTGGCCCAACACTATCTCACGAGATGCCTGTCGCAAAGCAAAGTGGCAGGACAGCCGAACACAGCAGCAAGCAACTTCGTTCGTCAGTCAACTCGAGCTACGGATGGTAGTAGGACACCTTTCAACGGCTGTAGCATGTCAAACAGCATGCTCTGACACGAAACATGCCGCGCCTTTTGAAAAAGAAGCACCGGACAACGCCCGTATGGGCTCGGGATTTCCTGGAACAAAATCTTTCCAGCTCTGTTCTTCAGAACTTCACAGAGAAGACATGTAGACAGCTTAACTCCTCTTCCCACTGCCACTCCACTGTTTCGAACTCCTCCAGCTCACAAGCAGTATCGGGTATTGTCGACGAGAGGCAGAGTGCAACCGATCTTCTGAGGCGGCGAGCTCTGACACGGAGCGCAAAGGAGACTTTGCTTACCTTGAAACATGAGCCTGTACGGTGTCCGATTCTCTGCACCGGAACTAAGCCATCGCTCCCAAGGATCGTGGGAACTTCCGCACACTAGTCCGTGTGGCACAGCACCTAGGACGTGCATGCCACTACGAGCACCGAGCAGAAACCAGGTGGTGTGAAACCCAATATGGAACACGAAGAAGCGGAGACAAAAGTAGAAAGCAGCGGCAGAGCAGGCTCAGAGAGCGCTCCAAACCCAGGTGCCCTGATACTCATCGTGCTCGGCTCTCAAGGGGCGATCTTGCAACTTGCGAAGTGCGGTCTTGATGTCAACTCCTTTGTGAATGACTTCGTACACAGACTCACAGATGGGCATCTCAACCCCAAGTCTTTCGGCTAGAAGGTGGACCGCAAGACTGGTCTTCACTCCCTCAGCCACTGCCAGGTCTTGGTTGAAGTTTCCAGTTCCAGGCACCTGACGCTTATGCTCTGGTAGGCTCCTTGCAACCATAGCCTGACCAACTGAGTAGTTCCGTGAGAGGCTGCTGCTGCAGGTCAGGACGAGGTCCCCAACTCCCGCTAGCCCCGTGATGGTTGAAGCCTTTCCACCTTTCTTGACCACAAGGCGTGTCATTTCTGCCAACCCTCTGGTTATCAAAGCCGCTCTCGCGTTAGCTCCGAAGCCAAACCCATCGCTGGCGCCGCAAGCAATGGCCAAAACGTTCTTAAGAGCTCCACACAACTCGGCACCGATAACATCTGCCGCAGTGTACACACGAAAGTTTCGTGTCGCCAATGCCAGCTGGACTTGCTTCGCAACTTCAAGGTCCTGTGCCGCACAAGCTACACTCGTTGGCAAACCAACGCCAATTTCTTTGGCAAAGGATGGACCACTCACCACTGCCAGCTTGGCATGATATTTTCCCGGAAGCTCATCAACCAAGATCTCGTAAGGAGTGCGAAGGCTTTGTTGTTCGATCCCCTTGCTGAAGCAGACGAGTGGAACCTGCCACGGAAGAACAGTCTGGTTCTGCTCGAGCCACTTTGCAATGAAAGGCGTGGGGATGATAAGGAAGAGAAGCTCGGCTTCCGAAACAGCTTCTGCGACACTTGACGTGGCGACGATTTTCTCACTTAGCAGAACGCCAGCCAGAAAAGTGCTGTTCTCATGCTTGCTGTTGACGCTGTGCACGACCTCATCTTCCCTGGCCCATAAGCTAACAAGGATGCCTTTGCTGGCAACATGGTTTGCCATAGCTGTACCAAAAGCACCTCCACCCAGCACTGCAACCTTGCGGACAGAAGTCTTCGCAGCTTCTTTCATCGACCCTCCTGCTGATGCCATGGCTGAGCTGGAAAACTTCACAGTGCCCGAAATCGCGCACTTTTGATGTCGAAGTGTCCTTGTCGACTACGCTCGTGAGATGACAAGCAGTGTTCACTCAATGCTCAAGGCCTCTCCGTGTGTCCGAAATTGAACCTGTACGCCGTCAGATCATCTACAACAAGTAGCACACACTCACGCACTCAGACTCATGCACTCTCGCACACGAACAAATACACAAAGAATCACACATGGACACACGCACACACATATATATATATACCATCACACACACACACACGTTGTCAACTGTGGACTGACTGCCAGCCGCGGGCTGGATTACAACACGAGCAACCACAAATGCTCTCCTGGAGATCGCCATCACGTGCAGGGAAGCTTGGATGGCCCGCAGTGGCCTGGCAGCTCATACCACTTACCTGCAGACAACATCCTCCGTCGCCTTGCTGTTGCCAATACCGCACTGCCATCAGATGAACGATATTGGTCTGGGCTATGAGGATCTTTCGGGCGGCTGCACCGACTGGTTAGTCCATAAATTGAACGAGAAGGCTGGACCTCCGCTTCCGTGACACACCGCTCATCCATGACACAAAGCCATCGCACGAGCAAAAGGTGCTCCACTTCCCATGAAGTTGAATGCATCGTCTGCGCTTACTGAAAGGCAACTATGAGTCTGAGGAAGGAGAAATAGATGCGTAATTCAAGGAAATGCTCAAGGGAGTTGGCAAGTGGTTGCACCAAAACGAATATGGGCATGCTTTTCAACCACAATACTTCTGTGAGCAGGATTTATAGCAACAAGAAGTTCACCTGTGAAGCCGCGAGGGCTGACTCGACCGCACGTGGAACCATGCCACAGTTAAGTTGAGTGTGCATTTCAGACAGTGGAGCAAAGACGACTGTCGATCCATTTTGATGCGAAATACGGAATCACTGGCCGGGGAAGCGCCTGGCGTGGGCGATTTAACATATTGCCTCCAAAAAAGCATTGTATAGTTCCATCTGGCTTCGCTTCTTGCAAAGTCGCGGCTGTCAATCGCATGAATTCTTCAGGACATGGTGGAGCTGTCAATGCTCGTAAGCAACTCACGTCACAACTTGCTGCCATAGCTGTGTCAAAACACAACTTTGACCCCTTTCTACATCTACCAAGTTTGCTGCCTTGTCCAAACCCAGTTCTCTCCCAACGCTGCGTTGCCATGTTTTGACGTCTATAACGGTGGGACCTCACTTCGAAAGTTTCACAGAAAGCTTGTTTCCAAGCACCAGCCTGTCTTGACATTGGACCTAATAGCTTTGAATCTTTCATCTGGGTTTCAAACAAAAAGCAGCTTCCAGTGAAACCAATCCAGAAGCAAATCGAAGTTGCCAACATGAAAGCCTCGTGCTGACTACATTTCAGGTAATTGTCTGAGGTTTGCACAAACTCAAGCAAATGTCACTTGCCAATGTCGCTTGCCAATGTTTCTTTCTGCTGCAACTTCTGAGCTCCTCTTTACTCTTCACAGGTCTCACTAATCCATGGATCAATCGCAATGCACACTTGCGGTGCTAAAAGATGGGAGTGAAAGTGAACTGAATGACTGGCAAGATGCTTGGTGTGCAGCCAATCAGCTATCACTACAATCTGCTTGCGTTCAACTCACTTGACCCTTCTTGCGGCCTTCATGGTCGCCTTGGAGGCCTGTCTTCAACTTGCAGCACAGTGGCTCCAAGCCACTGACAAGACCAACAAAAACGGAATGTCGTTGGTGCATGCTTGTGAGTCAGCTGGACTCTTGCTTGCGAACACATACAGTGGTTGGAGTTCCCACATGTGGACACCAGACGGACGCTGCAGTCATGCATTGGTGAGCATAGGTTTTTGGAATGTTCCG